ATAGAAAGGTGGGATCGCAAAAAAAAATGTAAAAGTTCAGGAATTGAAAAACATAAAAAGTGTGTTAATAAATATCATTATGAAAAGAACGATGTTAGAAGCAGAGTTTGTAAACTATTTTTTCTAAAAACTATAGATATTAGTAAAAGACGAATTTACTATAATTTTAACGTGGTAAATTAAGTAAGTGGACTACCAAGGTCCCCAAAGAAAAGAAAAATGATTTGTAGAAAAATTCCTAATCAAGTCTTAGATAAAATCAGAAAACATATAAATAGTTTTCCAACAGTTAATTCATGCTATTGCAGACAAAATACTAAAAAAAAATGTTTAGAGTCGTCATTGAGTACAATTAAATGTACAGGTTCTTTACACAAGCTTACCCAGAGTTAAATGTAAAAAAAGATGTTTATTATTTAACTTTTAATACAGAGTTTAATTTGGCATTTCATAAACCAAAAAAAGATTTGTGTTATTTATGTCGAGAGTATAAAAGTAAAGAAGATGGCCAAAAAAAATACTACAGCATAGAGAGAGCGTAATGAATTAACTAGACAAGAAAGAAAATATGACCTAGCTAAAGTTGCCAACGGAGATTACAAAACCACAGCAGTTATAACTTTTGATTTAGAAAAAGTATTTCCCCTTCAAATTGCTATTATTTCTGCATTCTATAATAAAAGAAAATTAAATTGTTATAATTTCACAGCCCATTGTTCATTGAATAAAAAAACTTATTGTGCACTTCGGAATGAACCTATGGCTGGTAGAGGTGCAAATGAACTTGCAAGTTGTCTGTATAAACTATTGAAGTTAATTATACAAGACTGTCCTAATATATCAATTAATCAAATTATTTTTTGGTCTGATTCTTGTGTTCCCCAGAATATGAATTCAATTGTGTCTATGGCAATAAAAAAATTTCAAAATGAAAGTGGAATACCACTCATTAAACAGAATTATAGTGAACCTGTTCATAGCTCAGTACAGAAGATTGACACTGCGCATAGTGTGATTGAGAAAAAATAAGATATTATGAGATTTACAGTCCTCCTACCTTATTCAAATTACTGTCATCTATTGAAAAAATACAAATATATAAAGACGACTTCAAAAACTTCAAACTTGCTTTCAAGTCTTTGTATTTCCATAAAGTGCCTTTTTCAAAAATAAAACTAATGTGTAATGAAAAACATCTACCTTTTCATATTAAATTCAAAAAATTGTTCTCAGGTCCGTTAATTGAAGAAAGAATTGGTATAAGGTACCCCTCAAAAAAAGAATAAACAGAAAGTTGAAGTTTTGAAAGAATTTCCTCCATTAAAAAATGATTCAACACGTTTTTTGCTTTCATATAAAAAAAATAATGACCTTGAGTCAATGGTAAAATATTTTGTTAGTGATGATCTCGAATTTTATAATACTCTTATTAAGTCACAAAATCTGAACAATTAAATATATCATCTTGTAAAATGTTTTAATAAGCATTATATTTTTTCTTAAAAAATAAATTATTTTTTTTTTTTATAAAAAAAAGGTAAAATAATGGAAATAGTTGCTTTTTGTATTTAAGATTTAACTTATTTATATTATTATTCAGAGACAAATTAAAAGATGTGTGATCAATTAGTTATTTTATTTTTAAATTTTTTGAAAGTTAATAATATTAATAAAAGTTGCTTAATGTAAAAAAAAAAATATTGTGAAAATTTATTTATTTATAAATTAAGTGAAACCTATCATCATACTCAATTTATTAATGTGTATATTTGTATAAGAAGCATATTAATTTCTATATAAGATGCTTGAAGATTAAAAACTTTTTATTTCTAAACAAAATGCCAATAAATTGGTTACCGGGAATGAATTAAAGAAAAAAAATGCGAAGGACAGTGAATCTAAAATTATTCTAAAGTTTTAAGTCATTGTAAGTTACAATATTAGTAAATTTAACCTTAATTCACCTCTATCAAATTAATTGCATCTATGACAATTGTATTCCGACAAAATGTTCTGATTTCGAAACACATTTGTCGTATTTGAAAATCAGTGCTCTTATTTGCGGTTGAAGTTTATTTTTTTTTTTTTTTTTTTTTTTTTAAACAATATAAATAAAAACTATTGATTTTAGTCAATTTTGTTAAATTTCAACATGTAATCAAATTTACATAAAGATATTTTGTATTTTAAACTTTAAGTGCAGTTTTCTCAATTTAAACCCAATATCGTATACGACACTTGTATTCCCGTGTAGTATGAGATTATTACTCTCGCGTTTTTTTTACTCACCAGTAAAAATCTCATATTAAATTTTTACTCCCCAGTAAAAATCATATATTAAGTTTTTGCTCCTATTATGAGATTTTTACTCCCATAATAATATTATGCGGCAAAACATATTTTTTGTAACAAAGTCACGTTTGAGAATAGTTTTCAACGTTTTGATTACTGTGGTTTCTTGAAAAGCAATAAGAAGCGAATCTTTTAATACAGTAGCTTTCATATTTCTAAAAATTTAACTTTGCATATTAAATTTGCCGACGTTTATAATTTTTTAAAAAGAAGCATATATCCAAAGACAGCTATTAGTAAAGGTGATAAGTCGAACTTTCAAAGAAAAACAAAACCATTTGTAATTGAAGATAATGATCTGTATTATCTGGGTAAATCTGGCGTTAAGGTAAACAGTTTATATAATTAGTGTTTTTTGTACTAGCGTGGTTTACGATAAATACATACATTTTTATGTATACGTTTATGTATCACGTTTTACATAATAACGTAATACATAATATTAGCATATTTTAAAAATGTGTAATGTAATAATAATACATAATATATGTTTTACATAATTACATAATAAAAAGCTTGTACTTTACTAGTATAATACTGCCGTGATAAAGAAAAACACAGTAACTGTAAAAATATCCACTTTGGCCTATTTTAATAAATATATATATTTTATGAGTATTTTTAATTTTTTTTTTTTTTTTAAAGTTATTTGATGCAAAGAAGAGCAACACCATATAATTAATTATGTTCATGATGGTAATAGTATTTCTAATGAGACTAACGCATTATCTGACCACACAGGAATCAATTCGACAACAGAGCATATTAAAAAGAGATTTTTTTGGTTTGGTATGGTAAAAGACATTACAGCCTATATTTCAGAATGTGATAATTGTCAAAAACCAAAAAACAAGAAACTTTCAGTTAAACCATTGTTACAAAGCATATCGATCCCAAAAGGTAACATGAAACAGATTGGGATTGATTTGACTCAACTCCCAGAGGTAAATGGGTATAAATATCTGATAATACTAGTTTATTATTTTAGCAAATGGGTAGAAGCTGAACCTCTGTTTGATAAAACAACAAAATCTGTCGCAATATTCCTGCATAAACAAATATGTAGACACGGATGTTTTGAAATACAGATTAACGATCAAGGCTGTGAATTTGTAAATGAGCTTTCAAACGAACTTCGCAGGAAAACTGGGACTCGCCAACGCATGACAAGTGCATACCATCCACAAGCAAATGGTTTAGTAGAACGTCAAAATCAATCAACAAAACGAACATTGGTAAAGGTGCTAGAAGATGCTGCTCTTGAATGGCCATTTATTATTGACGGTGTTTTGTTTTCAATGCGAATTAGAAAACACAAATCAACTGGATTTTTACCCTTTTAATTACTTTATCAAAGAGAACCTGTTCTGCCGATATAGATCAGAACCTATTTGACTATAATGATAATGCTACTCTGATTGATGACAATTCCCATAACAATAAAGCAATTTTGGAAACATTCAATAAAATGAATGAAATGAAGAAGTGTATTTTTGATGAAGCTTACAAAAACATGCAAAAGTCACAAATAAGGTAAAAACGCGGCTATGACAAAGGAGTTAACCCAAAAAATAGTATTGCTATAAAAATAAAGGTTTTATTGCGAAATCATAAACGTGATGACAGAAAAGTTGGAAAGCTTGTGAAGCCATGGATAGGACCATACACGGTAACTAATATTTCAAGTACAAATAATTGTAGTTTAATGAATGAAAAAACGTAATATTGAAAAGAAAAGTACTATCTAACAAGTTTGTCCTTGTACAAAAAAAAATACCAAGTAATGGCAAGAAATTAACAAATTATCAAATGATGATGATATCAAAACTGAACCAGTTATCAAAGACGTTAAATCAAGCAAGTCATATATAAATACTCAACATGAAAGCTGTGTAAATATTTTAGACAAAGGAATAGCAAAATGTGCAACTTTTGATATGAGAAAATTAATTGCAGAAAAGTTTGAAATTGTTTGGAAACACAATGTCACCGTAGGAAACATAAATCTAACTTTTTGTCCTCAGGGACTCCATATAAATAAAGGAGATGGAAACTGCTTTATATATATATATATATATATATATATATATATATATATATATATATATATATATATATATATATATATATATATATATATATATATATATATATATATATATATATATATGCATATATATATATATATATACACATATATATATATATATATATATATATATATATATATATATATATATATATATATATATATATATATATATATATATATATATATATATATATATATATATATATATATATATATATTTATATATGTATTTATATATATATATATGTGTGTGTATTTATATATATATATATATATATATATATATATATATATATATATATATATATATATATATATATTTACATCTATATATGCTTATATATGCCGAAAATAAATATGCTTTTGGCAATATTTATCACGTAAAGAGAGATGTTAGTATCATAAATAAAAACTAATTAATTATACTTAAATAGAATTAAGGAAAAAAAGAAAACATGTTTAATCAAATATTTCTTGTTATAATAATTTTATTTACTATTTGTAAAGTTTTTAACATTTCTTTTTGATTCTAATATTTCTAAATTGTGTATTTTAGAACTGTTGGACCAATTACATTTGGCATTGTTTATTCCTGGTCATTGAAAAACGTGGAAAATACTTTAAAGGGTTATAAAAGTCTTGGATTTCCGTTTAATGAGTACTTAGTTTTTTTGCTTATCGGTCTATCAACTTTTATTTTATGTTTACTTGCAATACTTATTCCTAAACGTTTAAACAAAAGGAAAATTGATGCCGAAGAAAAGCCTTTAATCACAGCAAGTTAAAAACGGGACACATAAAAAATATATGCAACTGTTGATAAACAAAGTTTCTGGGATGAATATACATTTTTCCTGTTTACAAATCTTTGGAATTTCCATTTCAAATATATTTACGTTTTAATAAACAGCAGTAATTTTTTAGGGTGTTCGGGGCTGAAAAATAATTTTTCACTTTTAGCGTTGCTGTAAAGTGGTAGTTTACTATTAAGAAAATCTTAGATTTCAACTTTTTCAATTTTATATAACAAAATTATATCATTAAAATAAAAGTAAAAGTTTGAAAATTTATGAAAAAATATTTTCCAAAATCTTTTTTATTAATTAGCTACATATATCGGCTAACTTAAATAAGTAGAACATGCAGGTAGTGTAGATACATTGACTGAATTAAATATGTAGTACATGCAGGGAGTGCACATACATCGAATTAGGGTTTTGGTTTAGGCATGCAATCTTTTAAAAAAAAATATTGCCTAATAATATGTTCAATCTGATTTCGAAATAACTAATTAGCTTTTTGTCTTCTAAATAAGTCACGTGATACAATTTTGAAATATGTTTCAAAAAAAATCTGAAATTGGCTTGTAACCTTTATGCAATTAATAACATACACTAAAAGTTTTGAATTTGACCCAAAACAGTCAAAATATATGCATTTAAGTTATAATTGGAAGTTTTTGTGTTATTCGAGCACAAAAAACCAATCCCAATAGCAGAACGCAGTTTGCTGTAAATTTAATTCTCGTAGAGGTTGCAAATAAATGTGATACAAATGTGCTGAATTTCAGATTAAATTGGTTATCGGTTTAAAAAAGATCTCCCTTGCCAGAATTTAAAATATGGTTTTGAGAAAAACTCAATTTAAAAATAAAAAAATTGTTCAAAACTTGCCACTTCCGTAAACTGCACCTGATAATGTTTCATTTTGATTATAAAAATTTATTTGTATAGCTCTTAATTTTTTGCGTCTTTACTTTACTCTAATTGTTAATTGTTTTGCTTTAGATAAATGCATTGAGTCATTTTATAATAAAAGTTATGTAGATTGCAATCTCGGGTAGTTTAAGGCCACTCCACATTTTTGTAGTAGTTTGACCAACCTTATAAATTTTTCTTTTAAAACAAACTGTTGTTTGAACTAAATCATACCAAGCAAAAGTTGTCCTAAATTAAAAACATTTTTATTGGCGACAATATAAGGTTTAACGCAAATTAAATATAAATTATAATATTTAAAAAAATTGTGCCTAAAATTATGAAGCACAGCTTTTCGTTTTATATTACCAGCACGATGATATGATACCAAATCTGTGTAAACAAACTAGCTTCGTTTTTCAGGATCAATGACACTTATGATATATATTAGAAATCAATGACACCTGTGGTGCTACAATTCTACAAAGAAATATATGAAACGCGTCTGTGATTGTAATACGCACTGAGTTGGTTAGACAATGATACTCCGTTTTATTATATGCACCAATTTTCTGTACTAGTAGCAACTAGTCCTTATATGAGTGCTCCTACTGTTATTGCTACTTTTTCTTTCATATATATATATATATATATATATATATATATATATATATATATATATATATATATATATATATATATATATATATATATATATATATATATATATATATATATATATATATATATATATATACATATATACACACACACACATTAGAGTTATAGATTTTCATAAGAGTTATGTTCCTGGATCATAAGTCAAAGAATATTTATACAAAAAATTTGAAAAAAAAAATAATTTGATTTTTTTGTTGGAAAAGATCACCCACAAACGGAAAAATGGAATTTACCATGTATGTGTATAGATAAAGTTTCAAACAACTTTATCATCTTTATTTCGGATATTCGATATTGGGCAACAAGTTGTTTTCTCCAAGTTCTATTAAGTCATCTATTTCTACGCAAAGAACTCTGTCAAAAACATGATATTGACAACCAATGAATTATGGTTCTTTCAGTTTTTCTTCAGTAAAAAGTAGGGATGTACCGAATTTAAGATTTTGCCGAAGCCGAAGCTTCAGCCGAAGTCACTTTGCCGAAGTTTTTGCACTTACATAGGTAAAATATGCTGTTTTGCAGATCTAGCTATCAAGGTATTATATTAGTTGCTTAAAAACTTTTTTAGCATTTTACTCTAAATATTTTATGTACTGCATATTGCAAAATATATGTGCTGCAATAATAAGTATTTTTGCGCACAAGGTATTTTACTATAACAAATCATAAAGGTTTTTTTTAATTGCACAATATCGTAGGATTTTAGAATGTAGCTATGCCTTATTTGAACAAGTTTAATGTTATAAGGAAAAAATATTACTAGCTAATAAGTAATTACTAATTTGTAGTTGAATTAAGGTGTGAATTATAATACTAATTTGGCTTCTTGTCAACTTAATCAAATCTATACTTTAAAATTATATTATGAACAATGTTTAGTTTACATTTCGTTTGTACTTTGAAGTATAATAAAATTACTATTTATAAAATTACTAATTACAAATGAGGAAAGTTATTTTTAAAATACTTATTAGTTTATTGCGTTTAAATTAATTATTATTTATTAGAAATCAGGCAAATTATAATTTAAAAACGTAAAAACTGTTCTCCATGCTCAGGCAACAGTCTGTTTCTTTTGCGTTAAAATATGTTTCCAGTTGTGCTAAACAGAGGTTTACTCTTAACGGAGGTGCGGTTAATACTTTCTTTTATTGAGAACCCTGCTAAATCCCACTTATTAGTGTCTTTATCGGAGCTGGTGCAATTGTAAACACCCACCACTTATTCGTAGTTCATCCGGACATTTAATTTTTGGTAAATCTTGGTAGGCTAAAGTAGAAGTTAACTTCCTCCATGTAGAATCAAAACTATATATATATATATATATATATATATATATATATATATATATATATATATATATATATATATATATATATATATATATATATATATATATATATATATATATATATATATATATATATATATTTATATATGTATTTATATATATATATATGTGTGTGTATTTATATATATATATATATATATATATATATATATATATATATATATATATATATATATATATATATATATTTACATCTATATATGCTTATATATGCCGAAAATAAATATGCTTTTGGCAATATTTATCACGTAAAGAGAGATGTTAGTATCATAAATAAAAACTAATTAATTATACTTAAATAGAATTAAGGAAAAAAAGAAAACATGTTTAATCAAATATTTCTTGTTATAATAATTTTATTTACTATTTGTAAAGTTTTTAACATTTCTTTTTGATTCTAATATTTCTAAATTGTGTATTTTAGAACTGTTGGACCAATTACATTTGGCATTGTTTATTCCTGGTCATTGAAAAACGTGGAAAATACTTTAAAGGGTTATAAAAGTCTTGGATTTCCGTTTAATGAGTACTTAGTTTTTTTGCTTATCGGTCTATCAACTTTTATTTTATGTTTACTTGCAATACTTATTCCTAAACGTTTAAACAAAAGGAAAATTGATGCCGAAGAAAAGCCTTTAATCACAGCAAGTTAAAAACGGGACACATAAAAAATATATGCAACTGTTGATAAACAAAGTTTCTGGGATGAATATACATTTTTCCTGTTTACAAATCTTTGGAATTTCCATTTCAAATATATTTACGTTTTAATAAACAGCAGTAATTTTTTAGGGTGTTCGGGGCTGAAAAATAATTTTTCACTTTTAGCGTTGCTGTAAAGTGGTAGTTTACTATTAAGAAAATCTTAGATTTCAACTTTTTCAATTTTATATAACAAAATTATATCATTAAAATAAAAGTAAAAGTTTGAAAATTTATGAAAAAATATTTTCCAAAATCTTTTTTATTAATTAGCTACATATATCGGCTAACTTAAATAAGTAGAACATGCAGGTAGTGTAGATACATTGACTGAATTAAATATGTAGTACATGCAGGGAGTGCACATACATCGAATTAGGGTTTTGGTTTAGGCATGCAATCTTTTAAAAAAAAATATTGCCTAATAATATGTTCAATCTGATTTCGAAATAACTAATTAGCTTTTTGTCTTCTAAATAAGTCACGTGATACAATTTTGAAATATGTTTCAAAAAAAATCTGAAATTGGCTTGTAACCTTTATGCAATTAATAACATACACTAAAAGTTTTGAATTTGACCCAAAACAGTCAAAATATATGCATTTAAGTTATAATTGGAAGTTTTTGTGTTATTCGAGCACAAAAAACCAATCCCAATAGCAGAACGCAGTTTGCTGTAAATTTAATTCTCGTAGAGGTTGCAAATAAATGTGATACAAATGTGCTGAATTTCAGATTAAATTGGTTATCGGTTTAAAAAAGATCTCCCTTGCCAGAATTTAAAATATGGTTTTGAGAAAAACTCAATTTAAAAATAAAAAAATTGTTCAAAACTTGCCACTTCCGTAAACTGCACCTGATAATGTTTCATTTTGATTATAAAAATTTATTTGTATAGCTCTTAATTTTTTGCGTCTTTACTTTACTCTAATTGTTAATTGTTTTGCTTTAGATAAATGCATTGAGTCATTTTATAATAAAAGTTATGTAGATTGCAATCTCGGGTAGTTTAAGGCCACTCCACATTTTTGTAGTAGTTTGACCAACCTTATAAATTTTTCTTTTAAAACAAACTGTTGTTTGAACTAAATCATACCAAGCAAAAGTTGTCCTAAATTAAAAACATTTTTATTGGCGACAATATAAGGTTTAACGCAAATTAAATATAAATTATAATATTTAAAAAAATTGTGCCTAAAATTATGAAGCACAGCTTTTCGTTTTATATTACCAGCACGATGATATGATACCAAATCTGTGTAAACAAACTAGCTTCGTTTTTCAGGATCAATGACACTTATGATATATATTAGAAATCAATGACACCTGTGGTGCTACAATTCTACAAAGAAATATATGAAACGCGTCTGTGATTGTAATACGCACTGAGTTGGTTAGACAATGATACTCCGTTTTATTATATGCACCAATTTTCTGTACTAGTAGCAACTAGTCCTTATATGAGTGCTCCTACTGTTATTGCTACTTTTTCTTTCATATATATATATATATATATATATATATATATATATATATATATATATATATATATATATATATATATATATATATATATATATATATATATATATATATATATATATATATATATATATATATATATATACATATATACACACACACACATTAGAGTTATAGATTTTCATAAGAGTTATGTTCCTGGATCATAAGTCAAAGAATATTTATACAAAAAATTTGAAAAAAAAAATAATTTGATTTTTTTGTTGGAAAAGATCACCCACAAACGGAAAAATGGAATTTACCATGTATGTGTATAGATAAAGTTTCAAACAACTTTATCATCTTTATTTCGGATATTCGATATTGGGCAACAAGTTGTTTTCTCCAAGTTCTATTAAGTCATCTATTTCTACGCAAAGAACTCTGTCAAAAACATGATATTGACAACCAATGAATTATGGTTCTTTCAGTTTTTCTTCAGTAAAAAGTAGGGATGTACCGAATTTAAGATTTTGCCGAAGCCGAAGCTTCAGCCGAAGTCACTTTGCCGAAGTTTTTGCACTTACATAGGTAAAATATGCTGTTTTGCAGATCTAGCTATCAAGGTATTATATTAGTTGCTTAAAAACTTTTTTAGCATTTTACTCTAAATATTTTATGTACTGCATATTGCAAAATATATGTGCTGCAATAATAAGTATTTTTGCGCACAAGGTATTTTACTATAACAAATCATAAAGGTTTTTTTTAATTGCACAATATCGTAGGATTTTAGAATGTAGCTATGCCTTATTTGAACAAGTTTAATGTTATAAGGAAAAAATATTACTAGCTAATAAGTAATTACTAATTTGTAGTTGAATTAAGGTGTGAATTATAATACTAATTTGGCTTCTTGTCAACTTAATCAAATCTATACTTTAAAATTATATTATGAACAATGTTTAGTTTACATTTCGTTTGTACTTTGAAGTATAATAAAATTACTATTTATAAAATTACTAATTACAAATGAGGAAAGTTATTTTTAAAATACTTATTAGTTTATTGCGTTTAAATTAATTATTATTTATTAGAAATCAGGCAAATTATAATTTAAAAACGTAAAAACTGTTCTCCATGCTCAGGCAACAGTCTGTTTCTTTTGCGTTAAAATATGTTTCCAGTTGTGCTAAACAGAGGTTTACTCTTAACGGAGGTGCGGTTAATACTTTCTTTTATTGAGAACCCTGCTAAATCCCACTTATTAGTGTCTTTATCGGAGCTGGTGCAATTGTAAACACCCACCACTTATTCGTAGTTCATCCGGACATTTAATTTTTGGTAAATCTTGGTAGGCTAAAGTAGAAGTTAACTTCCTCCATGTAGAATCAAAACTATGAATCAATTTAAAATTTAAACTTATATTTTAAATTTTAAATAAATTAAGGAAAAAAGCTTACTCTTCTTCAACTTTTAAATAATAAAAAGTTAACATTTATAGTGGATAAATAATTATGTTGTGCATGGAAAAATAAAAATATTAAATGCAACCAGACCCGTAACTGAAAAGGAACTGAATAGGAACTGAAGTTTTGAATAACAACAAATTGATTTATATGTTGATTTTGAAATTACTCATACTAAGTTTCACTTTATATTAAATGAATGAATATTTAGATTTAATAAATCTTAGTAAAGAGTAGTTGAAATCTTATGACTAACGTGTTGACAACGTGTGACAAACTTTACTGATATCAATTCGATGTCTTTTTACTGATATCGGCCCGATGGCATCGGGCCTACATCATTCTGATGAGCGAAAACTACGTCGGCCCGACATAGTTAAACTACCATCGGCAGTTTTAAAGTCCTACGTTGTGCCGACATCGGGCCAACGTGTATATGTTATCTGGGATTAATCTTATAGAAAATAAAATTTCAAAAAGTGTTGAAGGTATTTATAAATCTAGATACATGTTTGATAAAAACTGTTTAAAATCTATGTAATTTTTATTTATTCATAGCTACATTAGTTATTGTAACATTGCCTGGGCTAGCACTTATCTGTCATAACTAACGTGTATCTTAAAAAAACAAAAACGAGCAAGCCGCTTTATATTAAGTATATTTTTGAAGACCTTATCTTCATTATTGACCATAAATATCAAAAAAGAATTCATTGCTTTATTATCAAACTTTTTTAAAACAATCCGAATTCTAAAGTTATACAGGAGTTATACAACTGTGTTGATTATAGATAATATTTTTCCTCAAAATCTACTTTGCATTATAAAATTTTCTTTATTTAATTGGATAGATAAGAATATTGTCAGTTGATGTATAATCATACAAAATAATCATACAAAAATAATTCCTCGTTAAGCAAACTTTTCCTTTTGTTTTACTTTTGTTATTTATAACAAATGAATATTACTATTCGTTTAACGAATAGCACTATTCATTTAACAAGTATTACTATTCGTTTAACGAATATTATTACTTGTTAAACGAATAGTAATATTCGATTAACAAATAGTAGTATTTGTTAAACAAGTATTACTATTCAATAAATGAATATTTGTTTAACGATTAGTACTATTCGTTTAACGAAAAGTAATATTTGTTTAACGAATAGTAATATTCGTTTAACAAATAGTAATATTCGTTTAACGAATAGTAATACTCGTTTAACGAAGAGTAATATTCGTTTAACGAATAGTAATATTCGTTTAACGAATAGTAATGTTCGTTTAACGAATAGTAATACTCGTTTAACGAATAGTAATATGCGTTTAACGAATAGTAATATTCGTTTAACGAATAGTAACATTCGTTTAACGAATAGTAATACTCGTTTAACGGATATTAATATTCGTTTAACGAATAGTAATATTCGTTTAGCGAATAGTAATATTCGTTTAACGAATAGTAATATTCGTTTAACGAATAGTAATATTCGTTTAACGAATAGTAATATTCGTTGAACGAATAGTAATATTCGTTTAACGAATAGTAATATTCGTTTAACGAAGAGTAATATTCGTTTAACGAAGAGTATTACTCGTTTAACGAATAGCAATATTCGTTTAAGGAATAGTAATATTCGTTTAACGAATAGTAATACTCGTTTAACGAATAGCAATATTCGTTTAAAGAATAGTAATATTCGTTTAACGAATAGTAATAGTAATATTCGAATATTACTATTCGTTAAACGAATAGTAATATTCGTTTAACGAATAGTAATATTCGTTTAACGAATAGTAATATTCGTTTAACGAATAGTAATATTCGTTTAACGAATAGTAATATTCGTTTAACGAATAGTAATATTCGTTTAACGAATAGTATTATTCGTT